CGGAGCCGCTCTGGGTCGAGCTTCTCCACTCTGTCTTCAGAAGCAAATGGCCTCTCCAAAGAGCCGTCCCGAAGCTTGCTGGCCAGCGCAGATGTGCCTTCTCCTGCTGGCACGGCCGCCCGGGACCCGTGCCGTCGGTGGGGTGCAACGGAAGGCAGAGTGCTGCGGGCACGAGACCCCCTCAGTCCTCTGCTCAATGACCACCCCATTGTGGAGCGCATCAGGGATATGGCGTCCTACCAAGCCGATTACTGGGCGTGTGTCATACCAGATTCGTTACCCCCATCTCCGGACCGTAGCTCGCCCCACTGGGACCCCAATAAGGAGTACGAGGACTTGCTGGATTATGCTTATCCTCTGAAGCCAAGAAACAAGCTGGGAAAGATGCCGGAGCCTTTCCTCCACGACTCGGGAATAGGTTTGGACAGCTTTTCCGTGTCCCCCGAGGGTACGTCAAGGTCCACCAGCATCTATGGCCGAGGTGGGCGGGCTCGGGGAAGCGGAGAAAATGGACGTTGGGGGTTTGGGGTCTCTGCACAGAGGTTCTCTACCCTGGGGCCTGGAAAAAGAGGCTGCTCAGGAGCTGGCTCATACTATGAACCTTTACCTATTGCAAAAACATCCTTCACTCAGAGTGCTTCCCCTCGTCCTTTCAGAGGTTTTGCTAAGGATGTAACGACGAAGTCAGCTGGGCAGGATTCATCTGGCCGCCCTGCTGTGGATGGGAGGAGCTGGTGTACTGGAGGGAGCCCCTCTCCAAACTACAAAGGGCAGGCGAAAAGCACTGGTAGGTTTTTACCTACAACCGCAGTGCTGCCCCTGAGGAAGGAGTGGGAGGGCGATGAAGAATTTTTCTCCCTGCCTCCGAGACTGCGAGAGCTGGAAAGGCTGGCTCAGATTTTGTCTGATCTTTCCGTAACTATAAGGACACCTGGGCTCGACCACCAAAACCTTCCACATCACAGCAATGGCAGGCAGCCCTGTTCGTCTGCGTTGTCTCCTTTTGGAGAATCGGGTGGCAGGGACAAAAGAGGGAATACTGAGGGGTATGCTGGGCTGTGGCACCCCTGCAACTCTCAAAAGCCCAGCTGGGAAAACTCGGAATCGTGTGGCCGGCTCCACAGGGATCCTCTGCGAGGACTTCACCTACCAACCGGTCTCAGGGACACGTTGGATGGGACGTACCTAAATGAACCCCGGGACAGAGGGCATCTGAAGAAGAGCCAGCAGAGCGAGTCCCTTGCCCAGTGTGTTAAGGTAGGCTAAGACTAGAAATAGGTTATTGGAACTTGATGATCTTTAAGGTCCTTTCCAACCCAAACCATTCTGTGATTCTATGATTTTGGGAAGATCTCACATAAAATGAGCTTGTGTGTATGGCACAATTAATTAAGGCTTCCCCTTCTGCATGATGTTTGGTGCTTGGCAGCTGTTAGTAATTTATGCAGGGAGGTTCACCAGAGCAGATAATTTCTGATGGAGCCAGAGCCCATCTCGCTTTTCCTGGGGCTCAGCATCGTGGGGCTAGGCTCGGTGGAAATGTGGTACTCACCTTCCCCAAGCCTGAACCAGCTGGAGCAGCGAGAAATCTGTCATTTACTGCCTGCCCCATCACCCCGGCTATTTAATGCAGCATGGTCAGCCTTGCCCTTCAGCCCGGGCTCGCTTATCTTCCCCAGACTGGACCCTGCTTCAGGGTATAATAAGGCCAGGCAGGACTGGCGGGGTCTCTCTGAAGAGTTTCCTGGTTATTTTGTGAGGTTTTTATTTTTTTGGGCGAGTGATGCCTCATGGCCATCCTGCCGCCGGTGCTGTGCTCCCTGGCTGGTGGGGATTGCTCCCTGCCTTCCCCTCCATCTTCCTCCCCACCCCAGCACCAGGCTGAATTTGGAAGCGGTGCTGGGCTGTTTGCAGGAGAGTAATCCTTGTCATGCACGTAGCTGCAAGCTCCAGTGCAACTCATCCCCCCTCTTGTATGGGAGTAACTTTGCCGATTCAAAAGGGTCAGCACTAACGTGTATCTGTCGCTCCAAATCGCAGTGCCAGGCAGAAGCAGCTCGGTTTTATAGCAAAACCCCAACTGCCAAGGAGCAGGAGCAGGGCTGGAGGCTGTTTTCGGTGAGAGCAGAGGCCCCTGGGTTTCATGCAGCATCTTACAAAAATAATCCCTTACTGAGAAGCTTTAAAAATAAATGAAAGCACTTAACTGAAGGAGACGTACCCTTGGGGAAAAGCAACTGCAAATTAACTGCGTGGCTCTGCTGAGGAGGAGGGTGTATCTTTGGCTGGGAGGTGGTGGAGGTAAACCCCTTCCTTCAGCCTGGGTGCTGCTGGCTTCCGACACCTCTCTGTAGCGGCCGTTTCATGGTGACCCTCAGTTCTTGCCACACAGTGGTTTTGGGGTGTGTTTAGGGGTCAAATTTGCTTTTGGCCTTTTTTTTTTTTTCTTTTTTTCTGTCGACCCTTGGTTTCCCAAGCTCAGGGATGTTTGTGTGCTGAGGGGAGGCGGATGCTGCCAGCCGGGAGAGCAGGAGGGAGCAGGTGTTTTCTGAAACACCGCTGGCTTGCCCATTGCGGTCCCTGCTGTATCTTTGTTGCAGAAATAGATAAATAACCCCTTTCGTTGTGCTTCGTTAAGTAGACGTTTTGCTGCCAGCTGGAGGAGCTAATTTGTTGGCTGTACAAGGTCGCAGACATCACCGACAGCTGGGTCCCAGCCTCGCCCGATGCGCAGAGTGCGAAGGCATCGCTGCGCCGCTGCTTGGTAGGTATCGCAGCTGGCTTTTCTTCCTCCTCTTTGGTGCTGTGGGAAGTGAGACACCCCAGCATGGTCCGGATGGGTGATGGATGGTGCATCAGGTGTGCAGAGCTGAACTGGGAACATGCGGAACCCACTCAGGGGAGACTGCTCCCTGGGCAACCTGCTGCAGGTGTGCCTCTTCCAAAAAACCCTTCTAAGCAGTGCTCCTCTTCTCCTTCCCTTCCCAGGAGTTCAGGAAAGACGTGGCTGACCACCGGAGCCTGACAGAGAGCGTGCTGGAGAGGGGAGAAGCTCTCCTCGACTGCATGGCGTCAAATTCGCCAGGTGAGGAGGAGCACCTGAGGCAGGGCTGGTTGTGGAGACAGCCGGTGATGCTGGCTGTAGTGTCTGCCCCCCGAAATCCCCATGTGTGTGGGGCTCAGGAAGCGGTGGGTTGAGTTTGCTATTCAGAAGCTGTATGGGAACAAAAAGGGTTTTACCCCTCCCCTGCTGTTTGGAGACCTGGAGGTGAGGTGATGTGGAGGTTTGAAGTGATTCCTCCTGAGTGCTTTCAGCTGCACCCTGCCTTGACCCTTGCCTTGCACCGTGCCATCCGTCATGGGTGATGGATGTGTTTCTGCCTCTTCTGGTTCCCCTCGTAGGTTTTAATCTTAGCGGCAGCATGGCCAGCTCCCGCGGGGCTGTGGGATGCTGTCAGCCTGCAGCTGGAGGGGATGCTTTTGTCCAGGGCGGGGGGGGTGATTTTCACACCCTGCTTGCGCTCAGTGCGTCCTGGTGCAGGTTTCAGCAGCCAGTTTGGGGAGATAGCCCTGCCTGGCTGGTGGCGTAGCATGTGTGGGGCAGTCGTTGCCATGGTCTGGTGCATCCTGCACAAGGGATTTCTAAAGGGTGAGCTGCGGCTGCTGTCACCAGAGGGGCTTTAGTGGCCACGTGCTGCATTATGGACGGGCTTTCCACAGTCCCAAAGGTTTATTTTGGGAGCCTGTATTTCTGCATCTTCACTCTTAACCTGGAGCCTTCTAGGTCACTTCCCACCCCCTCCAAACTGCATCACATGCTGGCTGGGATGAAGATCAGCTTACTGATTTCTAACACTCTGTTTTCTTCAAAAGTCTTTCCGGGCAGAGTGGAAGTCTCTCTCACTGCTCTTACAGACATTGAATTGTCACCTTACGACCCCCTTCATCATATGTTTTGTTTTCCAGCTCTGAAAGACACGCTGAGTTTGATTGCGAAACAGTCAGAAGAGCTGGAAAGCCAGGCGGAGCATTTGTACGAGTCCGTTCTAGCTGCTGCGGGTCCCACGCGGGGCAAGGACAGGGTGGAGGACAGGGGGCTGCAGCAGACGGCTGCTCAGTGGGTAAGCGGGGGAACAAACCAGCCTTCTGCAGCAGGACGGAGAGGGAGGGAAGCACAGGAAGGTAAACACTTAAATTAGCAAAGAGTATACATCAGGCTTTATTGTTATTTCTTTTCATCTGGTGGTTGGAAAGCCTAAAAAGAGAAGAAAGCAAGGGCAATCTCAAAATGGATGCCCCATCGTCTTTAAATGTGTGTCAGGGAAGAGCAGTGTGTGGGTGAACCAGCTGATGAAACCCAAGAGCGCGATGAGAGCAATGGCAGCTCCTCGGAGGGACTCGGGGAGCCAGCAGGCCACTGGCAGTCAGGGTGGAGGGGGGTGGCAGCAGTCTGGCACAGACAGCTGCTCCACTGAAATCACTTGGATTTTTTTTTTCTTCTTTTTTCTCCAAAGAAAAATTCTGCTTGCTGTGTCATGGTGGGAAAAGGAAGCAAGTGAATTCAGGTTTCATTGTTTGCTGAATGCTTGGAACATCTCCCTTCAAATAAAAGTGCAGAGACAAAAGTGTTTCAGGAGGGCATGGCAGGAGTGTTGGCATAAGGGGGTGGAGGGGTGCAGGGTGTCAAGGGCAGTCACAGCAGCATCAGTGGGGGCAGCTGTGTCCTGCCATGTCCCTCAGCCACTCACATGGTGATTGGGAATCACTGTAAAACCGTGTCTGTACGAAATGATCACAGGTGGCAGCAAGGCACTGGGTCCAGAGACACAAGAAGGCTCTTAACAGCGTCTGAGCACCAAGAGGTAGAGGAACTGCAGGGTAACCCTGCCTGCCCCCCCTCAGCTCTGACTGTTCATTGCCCCATGGCCCACACCACAGCGTGCCTTAGCACTTGGAGTCGCAAAGGTGAAAAAATATTTCCAGCGCTTTAGAGGAGAGTAACAGTATCTCTAGTTTGTTTTGTTTTGTTGTTGTTTTCTAAAAAAAAAAAATAATTGGTAAATATACGTAAGGATATGCTTTACACTTACCAAGCCTATGTGGAGGTGATTTCAGTATAGCATGGGGCTGGCTGGTTTGTTGGATTGCAGCCAAAGCACAGCAGCAAACCTGATCCATTTTCTTTCAGGCGCTGCCTCTATCAGATCTGGGCTGTGTGAGCCAGTCTCGGATGGCTGAGAAGAAATGCAGTGAGCACCAAATCACCTCTTCCACCTCTTGCAGAGATGCCAAATACGTATGATCACTGTGTTTGGAGGTAGCCAGCCTGGGCTGATTTCAGTTTGTTTTGTTTTTTAACCATGTCTTGAGGAGGCGAGCTGTACAGCAGTTATTTGGCTATTGGGATGTTGAGTTAAAAGTGCTGACTACATCGGGGAGTTTTGTGAGTGGAGAATGTACAGCTGGCCTTTTTTTTTTTTTTTTTAAATCTAGTGTTCTCTTTTTTTTTAATTGAAGTGGCCTGTTACACACATTAGCTAAATGTCAGGAGCACAGTGGTTTTTAACTGAGTGATCTATAGTGTGCCATACAACTCACCTCCAAGTAAAGCCGTGTGATTTTAATAGCCCTGTTCTCATGTTTTGTTTGTGCTCTTCAAAAAATAGGTGCTAGAAGCCAAGAAATAGCAACTCCTGGTTCTTGGGAGCACACTGAACTCTTGTTTATAATTAGCATTCCCTGCTGAAGCAGAGCATATTTAACGTTCAGATTTCTTATGCTTAAGCACAAAGAGCCAATATGCTATATGAATCTCAAATAAACAGGTTAAGTACACACAGGAAAGAACCAGGTTACATATAAACTGCTATTACCCGTTATTTGCCATAGTTGTGGTAGTGGTGTGCTGGTTTCCCTGGTGAAGAGTTGTGCCTTTCCCCTTACAGCCAGTGCAGTTCATCACTGCTCACAAAACATCCATAAGTGTTTCCAAACCCTTTCTGCAACAGAAAAGGGCATCTCTGAAGCAGCATAACAAGGTAAGTGGTCAGAAAGTCACAGCCAACTGCAGAATGTTGGTACTGGGCTGTAATTAACCTTTAAACTAAATGTCGATCATCTTGTTCTTGTGCAGAACACATAATTTCCTCCCATTCTTGTGAAGAGAATAAAGTGAAGCTTCTGTACTGCACACATAGAAGGTGAAAGCATAGTTAAACTGGAGCAGTTATGAATGACAATTAATTGGGTTTTGTGGGGTTTTTTTTAATACTTTCCCATCTTCCACCTCCTCAGCTTAAAGGACAAATTTTTTTTATTGCCAAATTGCAGGTGACAATTCATAGATCAGCGTAAATCCAAGAAAAAGGCTCAAACAAGTGGTTACAGTGAGATGGTCTCCCTGGCTTTACCAACAGCAGGTCCTGTGCCTGTGGGCACTCAGGGTGATGCACAAACAAAGCCTGCAGCAGGGCCAGATGGGAGTTACGCACAAGGAAAGGCTACTGCTGCCTGTTTGCTACCACTTGCAAGTCTGAAGCCTGAACCCCTTACATCAAAGATATTTAATATTTCAGCTCACAGGTAAAAGACTACACAGTGCCCTCACCCAGGGCTTTTAGGCCTGCTCTAGCCTCTTCCACACACCTCCAGCCTGGAAGCACAGTCTCCAGCATGTAACAGTACCAGCCTTGTAACACAGTAATGACTTAGGGAAGAAAAAAAAAAAAAAAACCACCAAACAACTGGTGTAGCCCAAGTTGGTTTTGCAATGCTTTTATTACTGTATATATTAACATTGGTTTGGATAGTATGTAGCAGGCATCTTGACATTTAAGTTCATTTGTGCACTTCTCTGAAGGGAAGATGTTTTGCCCTCAATACACCTCGTGGTTTGCTTCCTGACCTTAGCAGCACTCACTGCTCCTACTGCTCCTGCTCCCCCCGAGGAGCAAGTCACATGATATAATGAATTATACCAACAAGCACATCTCTAATAGAAAGCACATCACTTTATTGTGAAGGTCTGAAGTGGAAGAGTTCAACTTAACCATGACAATACTTGATGTATTACAATTGCCTGTTGATTGATGCAACTATGTTGAAGAAAGCTGTTAGCCAAAGTCACCCCCCACCCCCCCCAAAAAATCAGAGCATATTTGCACCAATTTTAGTTTATACCTCACAACATACCTAGGCTATATTTTTTTACTATCACAGGGTGTATTTACTACTAGGGGAATGTTACATGGTCTTTCAGACATGAGACTATTTACAGAATAGGCTGAACATTTGAGTTTAGATAAAGCTGAACAATTTTACATGTATAGGAAGTGTTATAGGCTAGCTTTCCTGTGGCTTTTAGCTAGACATCAGGCACTAATGATTTGATTAGCTCTGTACAAAGAATCACACACTGTCCAAAACCTCTTGGCTGCTGGTTAGTTCCAAATTGTTCAACATAGCGCCTACTTTGAGCAACAGTCAGGTGTGGGGCCTTACTGTCCCCATGTCATCCTTCTGATGCCTCTGTGCATAACAGAATAGAAGCAAGCTGTTGCACTAAGTCAGAAGAGTATTGATTAAAAGAGGATGGAATTAACAGTATATAGAAAAGACATAATATACTGGTAGAAAGTTACACCACCTCAAGGTTACTTTGAATTTATTCATGTTAGGGAAACACTGTTCCTTCCCCTACTACACAAAGCAGACAGGAAATTCCCTAAATAAGAGTCCTTGAGAAATAAATTAAGTTCCAAGACTAAGTTAGGGAACTGTTGTACATTCAGAGTGCATTATGACTCTGTGAACATTGGCCGGGTGGTTCTGGTACAGCAGAGGTGCCTTAAGCACCATGACAACTCAGTCTTTTGGGCCCTAGTCACTAGTTTCAGTTGCAGGGAAAGTCTCTGGTCTACTAGAAGGTCTGAGAGCCATGGCTGCACACAGATATGTTTTGTGCACAATGCAAGCCTGATTTCCCCCTTAGCCATACAAATTAAGACAATATTTATCACCATACAATTTGATATTACTTCCAATAAGTACAATATTTATTAAACATTTCTTCAGTTTTGTTACATATTGTGCAACAAATTACAATATTCTGCAGCCACAAATTATATGCAGAGTATGAAGAAACTATTAATCAGATAGTGTGATCTTTCCATTTATAATTCTACAAGAAGGAACTAGCAAATCAGATCTTACATATATCTTACTAAATTTTATGCATGGAAAGTGACAGACACCGTTGTGCTGTTTGATACAAAATGGCTAAACTTCATCTTCAGAAGACTAAACCTGACATCTAAACATGCCAATAGAGACATCAAAACAAAAATACATCCTAACCAACCACAGGAAACAGTCTGGTATCAGGAAAAGCAACAAGGATTACACGTTTATAAACCAGCACACAAAGGTTTAAAACAGTTCTGAAAATGAAGTTAGCTGTCTTGAGTCAAGGGAATAAAAAAAGTCAGTATTGACCATTTACAATCTCTGACCTTTGTGGAGACGGTAAGAATCTGTTGTAGTGCAGCTACATACAGTACAATTCAGGCAATTTTTTTTTTTCACTTGGGTTCAGATTGCAAATTCATTGTTGTGAGACAAAAGGGGGGGAGGCAAGTTTTAGCAGCAACCTCCACTAGACTGCTTGACTGGAGTGCTCTGAATTTTAACATTGGACTTCTCTGCACCACCAGCTGTCGCTCCCGGACCCATTCGTTTTTTAATCTCAGCAGCCATGGTCATGAAAGACTGTTCTACATTTGTGGCATTCTTTGCACTAGTTTCCAAAAATGGAATTCCAAGAGAATCTGCAAATTCCTGCAAATCAAGAAACAGTGAACAGTGAGCTAATACACTGGTTCATCCCCCACCTCGTTCCTGGTGCAGCACTGGATAAGACAACTTCATTGACCACCACCCCACTCCCAGACTCCAGCCTGATGACTGGAGGGGGTCATTAAACTGTTGGCATTTATGGCACCTTGATATCTGTGTACCAAGACGCTTGCCTGCCCTAGAGCTTACTTGTAAGCACATTACAACCCAGATGAAGTGCTTAACCAAACAAATACAAACAAATACACATGAATATCCACATACCTTTGCTGTTGTATAGTCTACTACTTTCTTTGTGGTCAGATCACATTTGTTCCCCACCAACAACTTGTTGACATTTTCACTGGCATAACGGTCTATCTCCTGCAGCCACTGTTTTACATTATTGAAAGACTCCTAGGAGGTAAGACAACTGTAAGCAAGACCCTTAACGAAGAGGAAAGCTCATCACAGTTCCTGGGAATACCGACTGGGAAGGAACATGAAGCAACGTACTTATCAATGTGATCCATGAGCACAAGAGCGAGAACTAATACTACAGTACTCCTGATTGCCTCAGGATAGGCAAGGCACCACAGGGTCTATACAGCTCCTTAGTCAACATTCCAAGCCCTACACAATCAGCCCTTCCTCCCTTGCTGCCCTCCCCCCCATTATTTTTCCCTGCTCCATATCTTGAATAGTCAACAACTTCTGCCATCTGGGATTCTTCATCCTCCTCCTATAGCAGAGATAACAGACACAGAACACAGCTGAAGCTAGAAGAATCCCAGGCATTTACAAAGCACCAGGTATTAGGTGCAAAGCACATGGTGTGTATAGAGATGCTAGAACAACCTGTGACTCCAGAAATGCAGAACTGCCACGCTGAACTGATACTCAAGTTAGCAATTGAACCTGATTGTTCTTTTTCTATTAATTCAGCAAACTCTACACTTCCCAAGAGCCCTTCAAACAGGACAACCGCACCAGTAATTTTCTGAGAATCTTTCACAGAGAACAGTGGCTCAGTTGTATCCTGCACACATGCTGACAATTTTCTGTTTCAAATGCCAGTTTTTATTCTAGACCAAAGTTCAAGTACATTCAGAAATCCTTCAACAACTTCCATCAGTAACTCAGACTTCCTCCTACCAAAGGCAGGGTGAGAAGTATCCACACAGAACAATTACCTGCCCAGCAAGCTTCAGGTTAAGCCTAAGATACAATTGCTTTAGAGCCACAGATCCCACTGCTCCTTTTATTTCAGTGTTTAGTCCCAAACCACAGAATAACACATACATTTGGCCTGATAAACCTTCATGCAGCCTGAAGAACACCATCACTGTCTCCTTAAGTGCAAAGTTGTTAAATTTCCAGTTTTATTTACTTATCAGCCTAGTGTATTCCACCTGGAGAATCTCTCCAGGCACAGGCTTAACACTTACCTGATCTGTAACATCATACACAACTATGATGCCATGAGCGCCTCTATAGTAACTGGAAGTGATCGTTCGAAACCTCTCCTGTCCCGCTGTGTCCCACTACAAGACAAATAACAGGATCAGTTACTGCAGCGTAGCTGTACCAGTGTTACACGTTAGCTTCCAGAAACGCAGCTCAGCTGATCAGCCATCCAACTACAAGTGTAGCCAAGTCATAGCTACAGAAGTGGCTCTGAAACTGTACACCTCTATAGGATTTGAGAAGATCAAGATGTTTTAACTGACAAGAATTACACTTCAGTAGGTACTTTTCTAGAAGTGCTCATTTGTTTGGTTTCAGACAAGTGCAGTCAAAAGAAATCTTACAGAGGAAAACATTAAGCAGTTTTGACCCATGACAAAGCCATGGT